TCCTGAAAAAAATTTAATTAATTATCTAGTACACACATATCTTAAATTTTGTGGTAAAATCTGCACTTGATTTGATGTGGTGAAAAGTGTGCGGGGGGAAAATTCAAAGAAATGAAACTCTGGAAAATACTTTCGTATAAACTAATAAATACAATTACCTAAATGACAAGCCGCTTCCTCAAAAAGATTCGCTAAACACTTGTGCCAAATACTTAGCTAGAAAAAAAACAAGCAATATAAAAATATATAAAAATAAATTAAAAAGAAAATACTTCCAAGTAGTAAAACAAAAGTTATGTGAAATGAAATGAAAAGAAGCTGAAACTGAAACAGAAACAGAAACTGAAAGAGCAAAGTAACCTCTTTCAAAGGAAATTCCCTGCAGACTCAAGTGGAAACAAAATAAAGAATAAGTGTGCTCCTTGTAGTTGTTGCTGTTGCTGCCAGTTTGTAACGCGAAACAAGCAGAAAAAAATAGAAGATTCTATTATTAACAATGCGCCCGTTCTAAGGCGACGTGCAGATATCCTGGCACTTCATAAACAGCAGAAGGACGGCGAAGGATGTCGTCGTTGTCGCCGACGATGAGAAGAGCAATATGAAACAATGACAGCCAACAATGGACAGCATAGCAACAACAACGACAACGACAACGACGACGACGACGACGACGTCATCATCTTGAATAAAGTGTTGACATCTTTTTGCCCATTCATTGTGTGTGTTGAAGTCTGTCCTTTGTCTCTACTGTCTGGCGCAGTCTCTGCCAACAATCCTTGACTAACGCTATGCGTCCTTTTTAATTAATTTTACGTACTGCAGCCAAACACCATGCGCCTCACCAAGCCCCACACCAGTTAAACAATAGCTACAAGCTGCCAATGTGACATGGTCCAGTCTCCAACTCCCGGAGCAAGCCGGACCGGAGTCTCGAATTCGTTTTGCATGTAGAGTTTGTGTTCATAAATTTGTTGGCGTCACGTTGTCCCATTTTGACGCAGTTTACCTCAATGAAGGAAAGCAGCATATTGATGCGCCGCAGGGTGTGAATGAAGAGATCATGTGAAGCGAACTAGAATCCAGCAGACATTACTCAGCTGTAGAAGAAGCAGCAGCAGCAAATCACTTATGCAAATTGGCTTGGCATGCAGAATTTCATGAGTCTGTGGGGGTTTGCGGAAAACTAAACAATGACTACATCGAAAATCAACAAAATGAATTGAGCAGCTTAAAGAGCTGACAATTTAAAGGCAGATATACTCAGGATAAAACAAGAATGGTAGACAATAAGTGGAAAATTTAAGAGCAAAGCAAACCAACAAAATATTTACAAGAAGCAAGGGACTTTTATTTTAAAATTTAGTCTGGAAAGCAGCTAAGCCGACTGGAAAATATGGGCCAAATTTAAATGAGACTTCTCCTTGCATTACCTTAAAAGTTATATAGACCTACAAAAAATAATGTATTTACATTTGCCAGATTCAAGCAGTATATTCTGAACTCGCTAGAGGTTGCCTTTGCTCAATACGATTTATATTTCAAGGCTGCACAAATCTACAATAGGAACGTAAACAATTGGCCATCTCTCTTGGCTACTGCCCATAATATGTGTATATAGAATATATATAGCAAAGGAAACGTATATTTGGCGTCTGCATTGGCCACTCTCATATACTTCTGCCGCAGGCAATAGATGCGTAAACCCAAATTAAATACCCATGTGAAGGTTCGACTTTATGCCAACCGCTCGACTGGTGAGTTATATGCATGAGATGCTGCGTGGGTATTTGAAGTGTGCGAGGAACCTGTCTCAGATCGGTGAATTTGTGTATATTTACACGTTGGGATTCATGGGGGACTTTTACCTTGGCCTCGTTGTCGGCTTCGATGCGTGCATGAAAATTAGATTTTCAGCCAACAGGTTTCCATTATTTGGCAACGTCCCGAATATTCAACTCGATGTGTACGACGCATTTCGCTTTGCATAATACATAAATATTTTCTATTTACGCTAGATTGTAATAGGGCAGACAGTCCTGGTATTCAGGTTTGGGGTGTGAGGTCGGAGCACTGGGCTCTCGGGTCTCAAGTGGAGCCAATAGGCGCAGCATAAATAAGCAGCGTTCTGGCAATCGTGCTGCGGGGACTCCCTCGACACGATGTGCGGCGCCCTCAGTTCAGTTATCCTTGCCAGCATGCCAGCCTACCTGCCACTCACACATTTACCATTCAGACATCATTCATGCGAATGTTGTGAGTGCTATACAGAGGGGGCCGGTGCCTTGTGAAGGAGGTGACTGCGCCAGCAACTCTCATTTTTATTATTTATGTTACTCATTCGCCTCGTATCCTGCTTGTTGATTGCTTTGCGTACACGTGTAGTTTGTGGCACTCCTGCCCCCAACTGTTGGCCTCTATATATATTTGCCAATGCGATGTTAAGCCCATAACATCGTCCTTGCACATGGCTCGAGCTTTTGTTTGCTCCAGCTTGTCTCCGTCCTCGTTGTCATCGTCATCGCCTCGACGCGCTAATATTATGAATGGCAACTCATGCATTGTAGCCAGTTGCCAGTTGGAAGTTGCTCTCCACTGCCAGCTGGCTGCTACTTTTACTTTTCGTGGCTCAAGCAAGGCACACCTTTGGCTCACCACTGCGAGCTAAGCACGTGTACTGGAGCGGTTCATGTGACAAAACCCAGAAGAGCGCTATTCATATAATGGGCAAGCTGCGTATCATTTTTTTTTTCATTTGAAAACTAACTCAAACCGTTTAAAAATATTTTATATTTGTTCACTTCGAGAAGTTTAAGAATTAAATAAATGTTATTTAAAGCAAAACATATATTCTTGTATGGCATTTACTTTTCTTAACTTGTCCAGACGAGATTTTTTATAAATTATTAAAATTTGTTATGCAAGAAAATGGATAAAACTAATGAAGAACTGGACTGTTGCGCATTTTGCCTGATGTCAAAGAAAGATGAGGTAATCCTCCTGTGCAAGCACTCGTTTTGTTTTAATTGCATGGAGGCGTATTGCGAGATTGTGCGTTACAATCGACGATGTCCAGTGTGCCGAAAAAGCTTTTCATATTATGAGAAAAAGTACGGAAAACCGTTGATTGTTATTGTAGACGAAGATGAGGACGAGTCTAATGATGATGATGAATCTGAATCCGAAAACAGTGATTATGATGATGAGCTAATGGTGGAAGAGGAAGAGGAGGAGGAAGAACTAGTAGAGCTAGAAGAGCTACAATGATTATCACTAGAAAATGTCTATCTTTCAAAAAAAGTTAAATTTCTTAGTTATATGTTTATTTTTATAATGTTAATATATTTTCTAATTAACATTATTAGTGAATAGCTCAAATTTTCTTCCGTAGCGCCCAATTTCACCGAGCCCTGATTCCGACCCTGTCCTATTCACGCCCTCTAGTTCGTTCTCTTGGCCTGTTAAAGTGTCAATGCAGGTGTATGCGTATGTGTCTCTGCGGGTGTATGTGTATGTGTATATGTGTTTGAATTAGAAGAATCACTGGAAGGCCCCTTGGCCAAAGAAAATCTTGCGAAATTGCTGAAAGCAGAATAAAGGAAATAAAGTAGAGCACATAGGTAATAAGTCGAGGGGAAACTTTGCTGCAGCCTGATTGCTACTTAAATCTTTGTATTTACTTCATATTAAGCAATATTTCACCTGCCCACACAACGAGACTTTCACTGTGAATGACAGCCCCCCCAGTGCGGTCGTAAGTATGTGTGAGTTGTGAATAAGTTGTGCTTACCCGGTGAGTTGTTATTTGGTTACATTTGCTACCTTTTGGTCGACTTTACGACAATCCTGAGTTATTTGCTGTAAGAAAAAAAATTGAGGTCAATTTGTTTTGTCATGTTGAAAGCCTCACAAAATGTTCCTTATATGTTGAAACCCTAGCGACAACTCAGCATTCTTGTTGTTGTTTAATATTAAAATAAATATTTATTTATTTATTATTTACTTGGCCTCCGGCGTTGACCAACAGTAACAATAACGACAACACCAAATACAACAAGAACATCAGTAAATGCAACCTGGTCATTTCGCTGCTCAGGGCGCGGCGGGATTATATTCTATCAGATATATTTCTCCCAGGCTGTGTCTGTCGAGCATTGAGAACGCTTTCAGGCATTTTTAATATTTAAATAGTTGCCATCAAAAATGATTACTTCATTCTTGGGCAGAAGCCATGCATTCCAAATGAGTTATTTTTCCTAAAGGGACCCCTAGAAGCCTTTGCTTCTGCTTAGCCAAATTCATTTCGTCTTTTCTCAGTTGATGTGCGTGTCAAATTATTATTTCAACTCTTTGTTGGTGCAATTTCAAAGAGGAATATCTAACCATATGAACAGAATATTTGATATTGCAGTGAACGAAGTGACGAAATGACGAGTGAAATAAGAAAACTTTAAATATCCTAAAATTTGTATATTATTTTCTAAGCTAATTGCAATTGATATGCATATTTTGCGGTGTCAGAAATTTAAAACAGTTATTTACTGACAATTCTTATGTTATTTAAATTTAAAGGGTATTCTAAATCAAACCTTAGAAATTTATAACAAAGGTTTATATCTATTAATACGTATTTATTATGATGATGACTCTATCAAATGCAACTTAAACCCTTTTATTTAAAATGTTTTGGCATCTACCTTAAAAGCAATATTTTGGGCTGCATTTTCGCAAATCGGATTGAAAAGATTCCCCAACAATGAACTAAAATTCGCAAGCAAATAATCCTATCAAGTCGTGGGAGCCACAGCCACAAAATGTTTTTACAAAAGAAGCAACTAAAATATGTGTTGCATGCCACAACATGAAAATAGAAATTTTACATACATTCTTTGATACAATCCAATTGCAATTCAATATTTTGTTGCCGTTGTTGTTTTTGTTATCGCTCTTGTTATGCATAAATGAAAACTAATTCGTGAAAATTCTCTATTTTCTATTTACAGTGGAGCATAACAGTGGCAAAAACCAAATGCAAATTAAATCAAATTGAAAGAGCACGAAAAACCACACATTCAGAGCGGGAAAACAACTGGTAGGAAGAGAGAGAGGCAGTGTGAATAAATACGATGAGCACAAAACAAACATCAACTGCAACAACTCTAGCGAACTCGGAAAAGCAGCCTGGCGAAATGAAAAACTTATGAAAAACGTTAAATTAACAAAAGTAGAGCGAACAACTTTAAGCTCAGACAGCGCATACGGAGTCGGAATTCGGGGCCAGGTTAGGGCCAGCACCCGCTAACCATCCTGCCAGCCAATAAATAAGTCAGCCACATTAAAGTCAAAATAATAGATAGAGCAATACAGCCTGTCCCTACTCAGCAAAAACCGCAGCGCAGCTATTGCCACGATGTGCACAAGTAACAGGAACAACAACAACAGCAGCAACCGCAGCAAGGAGCACTGTTTCTTGCCAATCTTATGGGTCTCCCTAGTTGGCGTTGTCCTGACGCTGAACCTTCCTGGCAGTTTCAGCGAACAGCACCCTGCGACGGCTGATGAAGGTGAGTGTAAGATACCATTTCACATATACATAACCCGAACAGATAGGGTTGCAATGCTTGAATCGTTCCACACACATCACATTGTTCCGAACTGTAAGCCAAGCGCAGTTTAGGCAGGGGCTGGCATAAATAAAACATTGGGAGCCATTGACGAAATTGCGTCAAAACCTCAATTGAAAAATAAACAGTGTAACCACAAAAACACAAGTCGAAATGTTTGGAAATAGAAATGTTGAAAACTACGCAGGGTTACAAAATAAAACCGTACCAAGCCAAACCAAACAATACAACAGCAACAAAAAAAAAAAAAAAAACAATTTAGACATTAACACTTTTGTGGGCAAGCGCAATGGAGGGGTTGTTGCTATATTGTTCGGAAGCTCTGTTGTATTTCGCTGTTGGCTAGAAAATGAGCGTTAAATTAAAAAAAGAAAATGGGCATAACATTTTGACAGGTTTTATTTTGAGGTTCGTTTGGGTTCAGTAGCCCATAATAAAGAACACCATGTGGTTCAATCAAGGCTGGCTATTAACTTGGCTCGCTAGGTGTAAGGGTCATATATGTGTAGGAACAAATGCTAAATTTTCAATTAAATACGCTCTAAAATTCAAAAGTAAATTTACAAATAATTTGAAAAATTTTCTTTCGTTCTAAAACAATCTTATTTAAATTAGCAGCTAACATCTACGTAGGGAATTTGCTGGGACAAACCTATAATAAATAATACAACATTTTTGAGAATAATCAAATATAATAACAAATAAATAAATCGAATTTTTACCATGTGCTCTACTCCCCGATTCTCAAGACAAAGTAGGCTCTGCAGTTTTTGATGCTTAACTAGTAGTGATTTTTTTGGTATGTATGTATGTATGCTTACATATATGCGACACAAACATGCAAACTTAAAAATTCGCCAACAAAATCTTTGAATCGCATTTCTACCGAGACAGTTTGGATTCTGCGAAAAGTGTGAAATACATCTCAAATGATTTTTCATATAGATCCTCGCGATTTTCCATACATACGAGTGGAATTTTCAGAAACCGCGTCTTGCGTGCACCTTCAATGCAGTGAAAATTACACTTTTTTGTATAGAAATAATTATTAATAATAATAAAATAATATCTAATAACAATCGATATATCCAATAGTTATCTCACTGGGATCAAACTTTGCCCAAGAAGTTTCCGAAACAGAATCTATGATTTGTGATGATTTTATCCAATCTGATTTCAATGTTTTTCGTGCACATTAAATGAATTTCGAAAAAATGTTAATGGGTGCTTTAGGGTTTTTGGTTTCGTGATTGTAAATTGTTATGTTTATATTAGGTATGTCCGGCTGTGTTTTGACTTTAGCGCTTGTGTTCAAACGGAGGCGCAACCTTTCAGGTCAAACATCTGGCATCGAAATTCAGTCATCGCACACACACACACACATACGCACACTCACATTCAGCGGTAATTACTAGGGGATTCCAAATGGAAATGCACTTTTCGAGTTTGTAATGTTGCGCTTGGATGGAAAAGCGATTTGTTGTCGGTGACAACAGCAACTGTGACCGGGATGTGACTTAGATTCAGTTGCGGGGTGGGCTCTACATTTTCATAGAAATCGCCTGTCGAATGTCCCTCCGAATTTGAGAACAAATTGTGCCATGTGTAATTGGATTTATGCTGCTGCTGGTGACAAACTGTGACACTCGCTCACCCCAGCCTCAGTCCGCGCTCCATTGACAACAGTTGTCGTTGTTATCGATGCCGTCTACAGCTGATCATCATCAGCGTCAACCAAATGTGATTTAAATTCGATTATTCTCAATTATTTTGTAACATGCATTTCATTTCAATTTCATTTTAAGAATGCTCAAACTCGGTTCCACTTTCATTCTCACCCCTCACCGCTTTCATTTTTTGAATTTTCCTGCTCGATTTTTTCATGTATTGTTTTTTTCTTGTTTTTTTGTTGGTTCACTTGAGTGGATTTCGATGCCTAAGCCGCTCCTCGGACGGTTGCATTTGTTTGATTGAAATTGATTTTTTGTCTCGCTGGGGATTTGATTTGACTCTCTCCTTGTTCATATTGTTGTTGTTTCTTTTTTTAAGAACCATAACCATATTGCAGTATTATTTTCAAGTGCTCAAGCTGACTTCGCTGCGGCTTAAGTGTTAAAGTTATAAGTAGTATTTATACAAAAAGACGTCGCCCTCCGCTCTTTCCCGCCGTTCGTTATGTTTTTTGAATTCTTAATGCCTGCTTTAGAAAAGAATAAATTTTTGAGACTTATGAAGTACTTACTTTTATGTGTGGGAAGAGCGTTTCACATTTCCTCATTCATTACACTGAATTCAATTGTCTTTATCTTAATTATAAGTGCATCTTCAGTCTACACTCATATAATATAAATAGTCCCCCAATCCGTTTCACTCCAAATATAGCCAAGTATCAACTTCAATTAGCTATCAGGCAGTCAAAAAAACTACAAAATGCAAACAGCTTGGACTACATTAAATGTAAAATAGAAAACAAACTGTCCTTTTTTCCAGGTTCGGGGTTAACAGACAGCCAACGGCCCCCCAATAGCTCCCTAGCAGCTCGACGTCCTTGCTGTCTAATCAAATATTCAACCTTTTTTATTTCGCTGAACTGATTTCATGACTGCGATAAGCAAATATCTGCCATTGCCCGACAAATTACTTGTTAACAAGTGCATTTTAATGCGAACAGGGCAAAAAAAAACTTTACAAGCGCTTCGATTTTCCTTTGGCCAATTTGTGGCATGTGTTTAGGTACCCAGTTTAGCTGGTGTGTGCGTGTGTGTGTGTGAATGGTAGTGTGTGAGTAGCCGCAATTGGAATGAATGCGGCCAATAAAAATAAAAAAGGCCTACGAACTGTATTTGCCAGCCCACTCGCGCCCCTGCCCTTCCCTTTTGTATGTTTGGGCAATTGGAATAGAAAATTGACATGGCTTTTTCTGCTTTGCTTTGCTCAGCTGTGATTGTGGCCTTTTTTTGGCAAGCGTTGCTTTTTATTTTGTGATTTGCCCGTAATGTAATTTAAGCATGCAACAAACTATTTGGCAGCATTGCAGCTCAAAAGGGGCAACAATTATTTAGTTGCTTACGATAAATGCGAAAACAGGCTAGTTTCTGAAGAATAGCAAGGCGTATAAAAGTGAACACGAGAAACTTTTGAACTAGCAGCTATAAATAATTTACAAATCAAAATACATTTTTAAGTGGAGTCAACTCTTGAAATGTGGGCATTAAAAATTAACAATGACCGTTAAGAATTTATCCTCAACGATTTGTTGCCTGGCGACACCCTCTTGTCGAGGTCCCTTGCCAACGCTTTGTAATGAGCACTTAAGCTGCAATGGGATTCCAGGAATTCTTTGCAGATTTAATTGTTAATTTCTATGTAATTATTGACGCTAACTTAAATTTCAATGCCGAAAACGAGAACAATTCCGAAAAGTATGTACACAAATGGAAAACTTAAACGCCCACCGAAAAAGATTGCGTTTTGCGTTTTGAATAAATAATAAAAATAAAATATAAAAAACAACAAAAAAAAAATATATAAATAAATATAAAATAACACGTGTGGAGAGCGCAGATGTTTTGACACAGAAATAATCCATTAATTCAATAAATAATAATAACGGGAATGTCGCTACTGGTTTTTTTGTGTCCCTTCTGGTCAGAGGTCCTCCCATTGTTTTCTTTTGCAGCCAACTTTGAAAGCCAAATATTTGTACAATAATTTGTATAAATGCTGGAATTTTTTGGGGTGCCCGCAGCTGAGGAGCATCCTCTTTGATGAAATCAAAACCCTTGACGGCGTTAAGCGCGAAGGCAAATAAGCAAAGTCCGGGCGGATGTTGCTCATTTTAATCCTTGATTTCGTGTCCCAATACATATTGGAAAAACCATAAAACACACACATAGAACATCCCGACCCTTTTCTACCGCTGCTCTCGAGTCACAGAAGCTAAGTAAACAACACATTGGAACATGGCACCAAGTACTTGAAAAATTACCCTCCCGCAACAACATCCTGCGAATGGATATGGGAATGTGAATGTATTTGGGAATGAATTGATGTGCCTTTGACGCTGTGCGGCATGAATGAAAATGCGGAAAAGCCAGAAATATTTTTAGAACAAATAGTCACACACACACACACACACGACAGGGGAGCTCGGGCCAACAGAAGGACATGCTCAACTCAAAAATCAATGGGCTCAATTTTAAAGCGCTCGAATTTCATGTTTCGGGCTTGGCAAACCACCTATCGATGTGCCAACCATGCCACGCTTGTGTCTGGAGTGTTAGCTCGTGTGCGTACGTTATGCATGTGTATTGATGCGGTCAAGGTAGGGTAGAGGGGCTTGGCTTTGACGATACCGCTTCATCCGCCTGTTGGCCATATGCCTGCGGCATGGGAATTGAGGATTGCGCAATGGCGTCGGTTGCCCTTTCGATTTGCAAATTGTAAATTGGCACTCGATGATTTTCGATTTTCGAAAACTGAATGATGGTCGATTCGGTCTTATGCAAGTCCTGGGCAGCTTCTAAAGTTCTACTGATGCTGTTTATGTTATAAAAAAATTATTTCATTAGGAAGTAAAAACAAAATCAATATAGAGGACAATCTTGTTGATCATCATACTTGACATCAACAAGTAAGAGGTTCTAGTCGGGAGCTCCTGACTAGGGGATACCCTGAACAACATCAAATGCATATATATATATTCTATTTTAGAAGCTATATGCCAAGTTTGGTGACTCTAGCTCTTATTATTTACCAAAATTGCCCAAAAAACAGAATATCGATATCGATTTTTATCGATTGCTTGGAAACGGAGTAAGTTATCGATTATCGAAAACAAACTCGATCTGCGCGGGAATTTCTCTAGCTCTTATAGGTTCTGAGATCCTTGCGTTCATACATACGGACGGACGGACGGACGAACGGACGGACAGACAGAC